CTAAGTTGCTGAACTGCATGCATGTCTGGACTCAAACTTGTGATCCTCCTACAGGCTTACACCACCACACACAGCTGTTTGTCTTTTTATGGACAAGGTATCGCCATCAGGCCTCTACTGTTTCATTATTTTAGACCTTTCAGTATAACCCTTACTCTAGCAGGAGAGGTCACCATTGCTCATTGAGTCTGTTCAGCTCTTCCCTGGATACTCCTTCTCCTACCCATAAAAATAGCTTTTCTAAACCTTTTCCTCTCTTCTCAAATCCACTTCCCTGCCCACTCAATGCCAGCCATAACAGATGACCTGCTGGAATTCAAGGGTCTCAACTATGAGCCACTGCATCCCTCTTGTGAACACAGCCCCTCTTTTCTTCCTTCCTCTCTGTCCAGCAGAAGGTATATTCCTGTTTCTTCCTTGAGCCCACTCTTTCCATCTATGTCCATCTTATTCTTGCTTATCTCATCCAGGATCTTCCATTAAGTGTTCTGGCTTTGTCATCATTTCAGTCTCTGTGTCTTCAGGAAAACATTAAACCCTTGAGGACAGAATCTTTCATGCTGGTGTTTCTCTTCCCTTGACATGAACTAGGTGGAATTTGCTCCAGTTGTATCACTTAACGTTATTGTTAATGCTGCTACCTGAATCCTCAAAAATTGGCTAAATTTTTATACAAAAAATTAGACAAAAAGAAGGCCTGGGAGGGGTGCCTCTTAGTGCTCTTAGGTGTCTACTGCATCTTATTGGAGGACTTAACTTCTCTGAGATCAAAGATAACATTTTCTTTCTCTTTCATAGCTTTTATAATCATCAGCTAGGCTACACAGAAGTATGACGGAACAGGCACTCCTATCTTCCCTGTGAGCACTCTCTCTAATACACACCCTCTTTCTGAAAGTGAATTTTCATCTGTGTTGAAAATGTTTACCAGCAAGAGTGAGGTTATAGTGACAGTGGCGAACCTTTTAGAGCTTTCAGTGATGCATGTGGCACACATGCCCTAGGTTTACCACCATGAGTTATAGACTGAAGAGGGTCAGAGAGGCTTTTAAGAAAAAGCTGGTTACTGCTTTCTTCTTATTCACTGTTTGCATGAACGTGTCTAAACAAGTTTCTTGATTTTACCAATTGTTTCGGAAGTGGATAAAGTATTATTTGTTCCTGTTTTTCCCCAAAACATAAATTTATACCAAAAAAACAGTATTGGTGACTGTTTTCTTCAGTAACTTGAAAAGGTGGGTTGTGATTTGTTAAAGTCGCTTAAGTAACTTTTTTATTGGCATAACATATTTTGATAGCTATTATATTTTGTTATGTATAATCAGCCCTCCACGTTCTCTATGCTTGGATTCAGCCAACCATAGACCAAAAGTATTTGGGGAAAAATTACACACAGACATTTTTTCTTGTCATTCTCCCCTAAACAATACAGTATGACAGCTATTTATATGGTATTTACATTATATCAGGTATTATATGTAATCTACAGATCATTTAAAGTCTGAGAGGATATATGTAGGTTCCGTATAGATATTCTATCTTATGTGAAGGACTTGAGAATCTGCAGATTTTGGTCATGGGAAATACCCTGTAGATAAAGAAGGATGACTGGCTATGCATCCTATCATCTATGTGATTGTTTTCCTGCCAGTATTTGGTATGAGTACTGTATTTTCTTATTAGTGTTTTCAGTTGGTTTAGAAGGTTTTCTCTATCTTCACATTTGATTATATGTATAATTTTGTGATTTGCTTTTTTTTTCTGTTTTGTCTTTGACTTCTGTTATTTCCTTTGGACAACGCCTTAATAGGTTGAATGTCCTTGAGGTATCATTTTAATAAAAACTTTGCTGAGTAATCATGTCACTTAAAATCCCAAACAAATCCATTAATGAAAAAAAATTAAGCAATATAATTTCAAGGATAACTTTCTTTGTGGTTGCTCTCATGAATAACACATGCTCATTGAATTACATTTAATTATTGCCTGGGTTCAACTATAAAGTCCATATTTCTTATAGGAAAAATGAAAAATCCATAGGTTCAAGAAAGCAGATTGCCAAATAATTTATTGTTTTATTTATATAAAATTCTAGTCAATACCCCAAGACATTTATTGATTGCCTTATTGATTAAATAGTTTCTTTGGTAGTTTTATTGAACTAAAACAGCATTATCTTATTTTTCTTGCTTTTCCTTTTAAATTTTGACATTATTAAATATCCTCACAAGGTTTTTCTGAACCTTGCCCACAGATTTATAAATAATCCCATAAATATGTTTTCAAAAATAATCTTTGGACTGTGGACAGCTGGTCATTTGGAGATACTGGCAAATAGCTATTATGTGTACTACCCCTTTTGCCTATACTCAACTCTATTAACAAGTAGATTGTAACAGTGTGGGGAGTATCATTCATAGTTGTTGTCCCTGTGGAAGATCACAAGCATAATGATGGTTATGAAGTAATGAAAATGTGACATAATGAAAAATACCAAATAAATACTTTTATTTTCCTAGTAGGTTGCTGACCTATCTACTATATAAGAAGAATCAAATCTAAATTAAGTCTCCACTTTTCTCTGGAAAGAAGTGGTAGATAATATTTATACTGAAATCCCTGTGCTAAGTAGAGGAGAGTAAGAGGACCAGCAATTGTAGGGAACTGGGTGGTCTGGTGTCAGCCACTTGTTGAAAAGGTGCATCATTCAGGTTGCAGAGTGGATAAGGCTTCCTTCAACCATTTCCTAGTGCAGTGGCTTAGAGTGACTTATTTACTTTGGCCCTCAGTACAGTGAGAGGAATTAACTATGTTACTACTTTTTTCAAAAATCTACCCTAGGGAGTACTAGGATTTCTTGGAGTCTCCCCAAGAGTCCTAGGGTAGGTTGAGTGGGTGACAACCCATCCAGAACAATTTATCCTAGAATGTTTTCAGGGTTTTGTTTTGTTTTGTTTTTTCAGTAAAGAATTATTTAGTTTTTAAAAGCTTAATCATCTCCAAGATCGCTTTTATCTCTATAAAAGCATATTTTGTCTTTGCAGTCATTTTCCTTCATTTCTTTTTTGGGAAAAGGCCTATAGCTAATCAGGGTAAAAGATAACTGTGTGAATACAGGCAAGATGCAAAAATACTAACTTAATGTTTGGATTTAGAAGGACTGAATAAATGAACTCATACGGAGGAACATCACTTCCCCTTTTTAGAAGGATAAGGATGGAGCAGGATGGAGATTTAAAAAACATAAAACACACAAAAGCACATGTAGGATCACGTCTCGGCCTTTTGGCTAAGATCAAGTGTAAAGCGCATACAGGATCTTAGCCCTGAAAGAAAATTCCTCATCTTTGGACAAAATCATGGAACTGGTAGCAGTGAGAGATAGTCATGAAAAGTGAAAAACTGAAGAGAATATTTGGTCCTTTTAAAAAATGTGCAGTGATGACTTTGTAATCACCTTCCTCATAGTTCAGATATAATATACTCTTATTTTCTTTAGGCAATTTTTGAAGCTTTCGTGATTCTCCATAAATTAAAGTAAATTGGCATTACTCATTTTATAATAAAATTGCTTCAAAAGTTATTTGTAGCTCTTGTTAATTGGTTTATCTATGTAAATAGAAAACTGTAAAAACTACATGAGCCTTATGTTGTCTGTGAAATATCCAAACAAATATCTAAATTAAAACTAAAAGTTGGAGGGCCAGGGATTTAGCTCAGAGGTTCTGCCACCTGCCGTGGAAGCACAAGGTCCCAAGTTTGATACCCAGTACCAAAAAAAAAAAAAAAAAAAAAAAAAAAAAAAAAAAAGTTGAAGGGTAGAGGTAGCTCAGCAATATAGAACGCTTGCCCAACAGGGATGGAGTCCTAGGTTCAGACCCTAGCAACCTTCCCCCGACAAAAGTTAAATAGACCATCATTTAGCTGCTTATAAGGTCCTCCATTTTTCAGGGGGGTATTAATTAGGATAAGAACAAGTAAAAATAGTGGTCATTCTTGGACCCCCCACATTCAGCAATTCCTTAGTATTCTCTCTCTATTCTATACTTGGTTAGCCAAGTCCAAATCAAGCAACCCCCAGCTAAATGACATTGTACAAGTCATTTTACCTTTCTTTGCCATGATTCTCTTATGTAAGATGGAAATAATTATATTTTCTGCTTCATAATGATGTTGAATTACTAATATGTGATTATACTTAGCAGTCCCTAGCCCATAATTGGCATGGCATTGTGTATTTGCCATTATTGTGTTTCTGAGCATAAGAGAAGAGAAAAGTGAAATTCAGACGTACTTGAGAAATAAAGTCTTATCTACTGAGGTAGAGGAAATATGTAAATTGGGGGAAATAAATGCAACAAAAGTTAATCTGGCAACAGTCTATAAAAAGCACAGCACCAAGAGACTCCAGAGTCAGGAACAAGTTACGATGGCTTAGTCTAGGAGTTAGGTAAAAGTGTCCTGAACTACCAGTGTGGAACTGGAATGGAAGGAGAAAAATGGTCAGCGTTTACAGCATATCTGAGGAGGAGAAGAAAAACAGTAACTTCAGATTCTCAACCTCAGTGACTAGCATTATGAATGTATCTTTAACAGAGTTAACAATCCCAGGATTGATCTTCAGTTTTTGAATAATGTCTGTGTATAAAGAAATAAGGAATTTTACAGACTAATGAATATTAGTAGGGTTATATCATTTTACTATTATGTACATAATAACTAATGATCTGCATCAATAAATGTGTAAATAATATGGTTTAAAGAGCTTTCCTCCAGTTAAGCAAAACATTTCATGTTTTTCCAATTCTTTGATTTAGATTCTTAAATAATATTGTTAACAGGCCCCAGAGATATGTTATTCTTTGATTCATTTATCTCTAGAATGTTGGTATAATGATGTAAGGCATTTAAACATAAACATTTGAAAACTGAACCGTTACACATCAAATTATTCAGAGCTGCAAAAAATTTTGGTTGTTTTCATATTTTTATTATTTTAGGTTCGCTGGATGATGTACTGGATTGTTTTTGCTCTGTACACTGTGATTGAAACAATAGCAGATCAAACAGTTGCTTGGTAAGTTCTGTTAAAAGGCCTGCACACTCATTTTCAGACGTCCTGAGTTCTTATCCTGCTCATATTAGTAACTGAGTGAATTCTATCAAGTCATCAATTATCCAACCTCTCTCATTTTCTTCATCTGCTTTCCCCATAAGAACATTACTTTTTGTGTAGCCCCACTCTTGCATGAAGACAGCTCATTCTGCTCCCCATGTGCTACTCTGCCCACCTCCCAAACTCTCTCCCCAGTATGTTGGAGTAGAGAAAGTTGGCTGGCATTATCTGTTTCATACACTGATGACTTGACTTTTTTTTCATGATCACTTCCTAAATGACTTATCTTCTGAAGCCCACAACATCTCATTTTAGCATTTCTTCCCCATGCTTAAAATTCTCCACAGGGGCAAGGGATTTAAGTCAATGGCACCTTGCCTGCCTAGCAAACACAAGATCCTGAGTTCAATCCCCAATACCAAAAAAAAAAAAGCAAAACCAAAACTTCTCTGCAGACATTCAGATTGAACAGCATCCATGTGGTCATCTTCTCAATACCAACTCCTTGGCCACTCTGTTCCAAATTACATGAGGCAAAATTAAAGCATCTTTATTTCCTTGAGGATTTTTCCAAGAACAATACTTAATGGAACAATTTGAATGTCTTTGTGCCGTATTTCAGTAGTGCATTTCCATCTAAACCCTGCTGTCACTTTTTTCACATCTTTTAACTTACGATCTTGCCAGTATTCAGTTCCCTAAGCCATATAAACTTCAGCCTAAATTAACCAAGTTATTCTTCATTTTTTTACCTGGGCTACAAAGGCACCCAAAAAATTTATTCAACAGCACCCATAGGCATCCCTTAAACTTCACTATTCTTTCATTAGCTTTTAGTCAGTTGCTGCTTCTATTCCCCTCTGTGCCCATATCATACCTTTACTATTCTCTCTTTGAGCTGTCTTTCCAATTTTGCCATTCTTGTATTCTCATAGCACATTAGGTCCCATTGATTTGCTAGGAAAAAAAATAGAAGTCATTCGACTTAAACATTCTTAATAACCTGCCCTTATTTATGAATTTTTCTGTATCCACACCTATCTTTCCTTGGGTTTTATTTTGATGGGACAGGGGTTCTAATCACATACTCTATCACTGAGCTACACCTCGCTTAAGCCCCCATCTTCTGACTTGAAATGTATTTTCCTCCCTCTGTCCCAAATCTGCTTATTTACCTGTTATGTTTTTGGAGTAGAGGTTTGAAGGAGAATTTTCTTTTTATTCTAAGTGGCAGAGCACAGATCCTGAAACCTAGGTGTCTCTAAGTTTCAATTTTATTTTTTAATCTTATTTTTTCTGATTTAAAATGTAACCTTAATACAATTTTTAGAAGGGTAGAAACACACTAACATGAATATTGACAGTCCACAAACTTCTTTGTGGCAAAGATGCTTTGTCGCCTGCACAGTCAGTCCTAACTGCCTCCTCCCTCCCTGTCCACCTTTGAGAAGAACCCAGCCTTGCTTAGGTCTTTGTGTACCTTGATACCTCCTGGGCCACCAGATGCTTGGCCTTTCCTGAGATATTAGTTAACTTCTGGCATGGCAGCAAATAGCCCTGTATAGAGTCCAATGGGTCAGAAAAACATTTCTTACTCAGGCCACTTGAGAAGAATGGTTGACTGCACCTTTGCTGGGCTCAGCTTAGTTTTTGATGCCTTCTCAGCTCAGCAACGAGGCTGAAGAAGTAGCTATTCTCATGGCAGAGGCAAAACTTAAAGCAAGAGGTTGAGGGCATTGGACTAATAGAATCAAGGGGCATCTAAAGCTTCTGCTTTCTGTGACATGTGTCACTTGTCTCATTCTCTTGATGGTCATTGGCTGGGGAAATGTGTTCTACCTACAGGGGAGGTATTGCAGAGTCACATTGGAAATGTCCATGAGTGCTTAACCCTAATTCCTAGTCTATCACCATGGTAATTCCCTTTACCCTTCATTTCCACGTAAAATTTGCAATTTTTGCCAAATGAGATTGGAAAGGAAGTTTTCTGGAAGGTGTGAGAAAGACCAGGAAATGTGCATGTGGGGTAAACATTGTGCACATGGAGCATGTAAAGTTGTGCCCTGGTATTTGGAGTTATGTCCTGTATTTCTTCAACATTTACTCAGAGTTTTCATTCCTCGGCCTCCCAAGTGGCTGGGGTTACATGCCTGTGCCACTGTGTCTCATGTTAAATGCTGTAAATGCCCTCTCTTACTGTTATAGTTTGGCAGTTTGCCTGTACTTGCACCAAAGGAAGAACCTTACAGCAGAAGGTGTGAATCTCTGTAGGTATCAATTTCCTCTTTGGTTAACTTATCCAAGGTTAAGATGAATTTGTCAGTTTAGTCATGATTGTGAAAACTTAACACATTGACTAAACTTCGTAAAAAGTGGTTTTGTGATTCCACTTTGTAATTTTTTCACCAGCTTTTTTTTTTCCTTGTTAGGTTTCCCTTGTACTATGAACTGAAGATTGCTTTTGTCATATGGCTGCTCTCTCCCTATACCAAAGGAGCAAGTTTAATATATAGAAAATTTCTTCATCCACTTCTTTCTTCAAAGGAAAGGGTAAGATACATAATTTATTTCCACAAATCCTTCTTTAGAAATGTTTGTAGACACATGCTTTATACTATAAAATTTGTAAAACTATTATAAAGTAAGAAAGTCCTACTTTTTGGCATCTTAACACCGTTTATAAGTAAAATTAACATCTATAGTTGTTTTTATTTTTGTTTCCACAGGAAATTGATGATTATATTGTACAAGCAAAGGAACGAGGCTATGAGACTATGGTAAACTTTGGGCGACAAGGTTTAAACCTAGCAGCTACTGCTGCTGTCACTGCCGCAGTGAAGGTAATTTTCATTTATCTTGTTTATCTACTGTCACACTAAATCAACAAATAAAGAAAAGTAGCTTTTTTATTTCAGACTATTATAAAATTCTGGTAGGCATTTGCATTATATTTATTCTAATAGTAGAAAGACTAAGTAGATAGTTTTAGAGATATTGTAACATTGTTTTTTATAAATACTCCATATTTTAAACTTAGCTGATTACAAAATAAGAGTTAATAAATAAAACATACCTGAAATTTTCATTTTTGTCATAATTTTCCCACCTTTAAACCTTGAGATAGCTTGAATAAATCACCTTAAGTAAAGATGACCATTCTTCTTTCTCTGTCTTTGGTGTTTTCTCTCTCGATGGCAATATCTTGGTAGGATTTCTGGCTTACTTCTGCATCTCTACTTCAATCAATTTGAGGTAACTGATTATTCAAAATAAGGCATGAAAATATTCTGTTCTTAAAACTTGAAATTTTACTAAGTCGATTACTAATGTCATTTGCTGTGTTTGCAAGCCAATGCCTTCTGTGGAAATTTGCATTATAGCTTTTGCATTTCTTTGCATGTAGTAATTGGTGTGGTTTATTTTGAATACCATAGCATAATTGATTTTAGTGTGTGGTATGTGGAAAGAAAATAGGCTTCATATCCAGAAAATGCTTAGTGTGACTTTCTAAGTAACCACAGGCAGTTTACTTAATTTCTGTGTTATTTGCTTTACATAAAAATCAGAGTAATATACCCATTGGTGAGAACATATATAAAAGTACAGTGTTTGCTTCTGTATTGTGAGAATTCTATAAACATTAATATCATGTATCTGTTTCATGTCAAGTAAAAATTTGAATTTATTGTTCTTAAATTAAATTGAGAATAAATAGTATTCAGCTTTCAAATCAGGCTCTTTGAGTTATTGTGAGCTAAATCAACAATACTATGGAAAGAAATACTTCACTTAAGAGAGGTGACTATATTTAACTGCAGTAGTTAAGGGATGTAAAATGAGGATACTTTGACTTAAGAGATCTTTAGCACAAGTGTCAAAATTAATATAATTAACAATGTCAGAGTCAGATTATGTAGCAGTGTTGTAGTGAGAATTAGATGGAAATTTATTAGCTAGAGATATATAGAGATATAAATATGAGAGCTGGTTATGTTTTATTGTTTTGTTTTTATAGAACTGGGGATTGAATCTAGGACCTCTTACATGCATGTACTATATGAGTGAGCTAAACTGCCATGTAGTTCTCCTGTTATTTGACTTCTAAAGCTTCTTTTATTAAAAATAGGTTAATAAATATTAAAATAACAAAATATTCAGCTTAATGAAAATACATTCTTGGCTTCTATGTCTGTCAAAAAAGATCATCCAGGAAATCCAACGTTTGATAGCTAAGAATTCTCAAAAGAGAAAAAAAGATGTAAACATTAAAGAAATAATATAATAATATTCTAATAATATCCTAGAAGTGAAGAACATGAGTCTTCACATTTGAAAAGGCCACACATTACCCAGCATATTAATGAAAAGGATAACCAACTCTATGCAAAGTTCTTGGATACCCCAAAACACCAAGGATCAAGAGAGAATTCTTAAGATTCCAGAAATAAAAAGCAATCATCAGAATGGCATTACATTTCTAAATGGTGACAGTAGAAGCTTGAAGACAAAGTAATACCATCCATGATCCTTGCCCTCAAGTTCTGCGGTATATAGCTCTGGGTCATGTGTGAGCTTAGAGTTATTTTTTTTAATTCGCCACATGTAAAGGCACAAATTTTACATGCTATACATAGAATTAAAAATAAAAATTAAAAGATCCATTGGGATCTGTGAAACAGGCTCTGCAGCACAATAAGAAGATGGCAGAACCAAGGTAAAGAGGGAGGGTTAGATGACTAAGAAAATGAGATTTTTTTTTTAAAAAAGAGGCATAATCATTAACTCTGGGAGGAAAAAACAAAAGTTATGTAAGAAAGGAAATATCATAATAGAGCCTTCTCGGCCCAAGCAGTGAACAGCATCTATATTATTATATTAATGGGAACAACTGTGATTTTGCTATATTGGGAGTGTGAAAGAGGGAAGAAGGGTGTGGAAGAGAGCTAAAGTCCTCACCCGTCACAGTGGGAAAGCAGAGTGTTTTAAGTGATCATATCTGTGGGTAGATGAAGAGAAAAAGACTAAAAGCTTATTTTCCATTTGTTATAAAATTTAGCATTATTTGACTTTACCAACCAACCATATATTTAATTATACATAAATATAATGAGGATGCTTTCTGAATTTTTCATACTTAAAAGCATCATTCAACATAATTCTATGAAAAAAAACTGAAAATTAAAGTTCAACTTGAAAAATTGTTCTAAAAACAGACATATTTTAGGTCATCATTTTACTAAAGATAGAAGAAAACTCTTTTCCTTCCTACTGTATCACTTAAACATGGTTGAAATCCCGCTATTGTGTGAGACACCTTTCTACATATTGAGCCTATTTAGGGGGTACTTATTTTGACTTAGGTTTACTACTTCCATACTCTTAATGAGAAATCAGCAGTCTTTGCTGTACTATTTTATCCTTATTCTCTCATTATTTTGTTGTGTTCGTTTGTTTTTGCTTTTGTTTCTTGTTTTGGGGGTGGTTTAGGGTGACAGGATCTCACTATATAATTGAGGCTGACCTGGAACTCACTGTGTAGCCCAGGCTGGTCTCAAACTCAAAGCAATCCTCCTGCCTCAGCCTCCCAAGTGCTGGGGTTACAGGTGTGCACCATCATGCCCGGCTCTCTATTATTTTGTATACTTGACTTCAATCAGTATTTAACATCCCTACATATCATTTATTTAATGACTGTTTAATGTGTATTATAGGGTAGATATTGGGGGTGCAGCAATGAAAAACAGAGTCCTTGCCCTCACAGGCCAGTATCTGTCTGTAGCTGATGTCTTTATGCACTAACTGAAAGTGTTATCTCATCTTTTGTTGCTAGCAGACCACCCTCACCGTCCATTATCAAATTAAATATTATCTGACAAAGATTTTTATTTTTTAAATGCTACAAAAGTAATCCTATATTTCTATAGTTTTCTTTTTTGTGGTTTATTAATTTTAAGAATATATTTAGTACCTTAAAATCATCTCTCCATCCCCAAAGGCAGGAAGCAGAGAGCATAAAAATCATTTTAGTTAGGACTGAAAAACATATCCCATAACTGAAAATCATTTTGGAACTGTCCCTGCTTGTTAGTGATGTCAAGATTTGTTTATGGAGAAAGATCTCTGATATTATGCAGCCTTCACCATTCTTATGATGCTTACATTAATGTTAGTAACTCCATTCTGGAGTCCATTTTATTCATTAGAAATAGTAATTAAATATGGTGGGCTCAGCATACTATTAGCACCATTTGCCACAAGTTATATTGTGTTTACTTTAAAGTTGCTGAAATTAGTTTCATCTCTGGAGACACCAGAAAACGATACTGTCATAGAAGAATCACTAAACCACTTGATACCCAATGAGTAAATTGAAAGTGAAACAGGAAATAGGTCAAGTTAAGAAGAAACTACAAGAAAGCTACTAGTTAAACTTAAAAATTGTTGTAAAATTGTATAATACACAGTTTTGTAATATACAGTTTGTAAAAAACATCTTTCAGCACCAGGGGTGGTGGTGATACCTACTGAATGCAGGACCACCCTGGACTACACAGCAAGACCCTGTCTCCAAAAACTTAAAAGCTATATACATATTTTTTTCAGACTAATAATTCTTGGACTTTAGTATGACCTTTAAAGAACAATAATACCCATGACTAGGTTTCCCACCTCAGCATGTTAAGGATGAAAACTAGAATCCAATCAGAACATTTACGATAGCATAAAGCATTTTTCTGAAAGTGTTACTCATGCCTATGACCTCATTACCAAGCATCTGTTCACGAGGTCATTGTGCAAGTTTATTTTGGATGAGCAAAGCATATATATGTGAAGGACCCTCAAGGGTATTGCTGAGGATGTTCAGCATTCCACAGCTTTTCACATGAGAAATGCAGGTGGCTTTTGCACAGGGCAGCAGTACTCCTGCCACATAAAGTACAGGTGAAGAAAAGTACTGTTGGTCTCTCTTTGAATTTTCTCTGGCAGGTTTCCCTTAGAGCTCCTTAGCAGACATTGAAAACCCAGCAAAGAAATTAATTTTCCTACTAAACTTACTGATATATAATTGACTTTTTTTTTTAAACCGGGGATTGAACTCTGGACCTTGCACTTGTGAGGCAGTGTGATTGACTTTAAATGATCAGTAAAAAACTTGGCATCTTGCTGTCTGTTTTAATGGCTTTCTATTTGTGAAAAGATTGAAGAATATTTAACTACTTAATATCTTCCCCTTTAAAAGAGAATGTTTGCTAGGCATGGTGACACATGCCTGTGGGCTCAGCTGCTCTGGAGCCTGAAGCAGGAGGACTGTAAGCTTGGGGCCATTGTCAGCAATATAGTGAAACCCTGTCTTAATAAGTAAATTAAATAAGTAAGTAAATGGGCTGGGGATTAGCTTAGTGGCACAGCACCTGCTTAGTATATGAGGCCATGGGTTCAATCCCCAGTACCTTAAATTTAAAAAAAAAACAAAAGAATATTTGTTCAGACAGGAAAAAAAAAGTGATTCTATTTCCCCCCATTGAATTCTGAAGAAGTGAAATTCCTTCTTTAGTTCTGATTCTGCCACTAATTAACTATTAGATTTTGGGCAGATCATCTATATTAACTTTCTTATCCATAGAATGAAAAGGGTGAAACCTAACTTATGAAACCTCTTAGAACACTGAAACTGTAGTTCTTAGGTGAAGGTGATTTTGTGACTCCACCATCCCTAGCAATAGGGGACATTTTAGGATGTCATGCCTGAGAAGGGTCTGCTCCTGGTATCTAGTGAGTAGAGGCCAGGGATTCTGCTTAATATCATATGAAACACAGGACAGCTCCCATTGTCCAAAGT